AAGGCAGGCTCCAGTCACAGTTGTAATTCTAGCTACCCAGGAGGCTGAGATCTGAGGATCGTAGTTTGAAGAAAGCCTGAGTAGTGACGTTTGTGTAAGACTCTTATCATTTAACCAACAAGAAAGCCAAAAGTGGGCTGTGGTTCAAGTCGTAGAGGAAAAAAAAAAAAAAAAAAAAGCTAAGGGATAGTGGCCAACACATACACACAGAGACACAGACACACACACACAATCCTCTCTACTCTAGAAACATCTCAGGAATGCCGAGTGGCTTCTCTAATATTCCAGATGAGGGAGAGACTTAGCTGAGGACATGGCAGGATTTGAACCCAGGTCTGCAATGCCAATGCTGACAAAGCGCTTTGGGGGTTCCAGTGTCCACACAGGCAACAGTCACTTTGAGGGTGACCTGGTGTAGGGAGTCACAAACACTGTGGCTTATTAGAGACTTGACCTTGGGCACATCACAGAGCCCCTCTGTGCCTCAGCCTCTTCATTTGAGAAATGAAGGTGACAGTGCTACCGAGATCCTGAGATGGCCTGGAGAATTCAAATAGATTTCTGCATTCAGCACCAAGGACAGCGCCGGGCCTTCTCTAAGAACCCAATAAGCGCAGGTGGCTGTTGTCTCGGGTGGCAGCGCGTGCTTGTCTGTCACGGCACGGCAAGGCACGGTGTCTCGCTCGCAGGGCTTGGCGAGAGAAACTACACAAGGCGTCAGGCTCACAATGGCACCGAGAATAAACGGCGACAGTTGTAACTGCGATGAGGAAGCCAGCGTCTCCCCCTTGCTGATTTCCTCCCTCCCTCCCCTGCATTTGCAAGTCACAGTGCTGGGCTGAGTGACTCCCTTGGGACATGGCTAAGCCCCAACCACCCCCCTCCTCTCTCCCTGGCTGCATCCCAGGGACTCCCTCAGGGATGCTGGAGTCATCTCCCCAATCCGGGATTCTTTATTGCAGCCATTACAGTTAATGCCCGCATGTGGGGCCGGCGTAGGGTTGTAGGGTGGCCCTGCCACACACCCCTCCCATCTGCTCCAGCCAGCAGCAGCTCCCCAGAACCGGAAGACAAAGGGGTGCCAGGTTTGTGGTGGTTCTAAGGCCACCTTTCAGGTCAGCTTTGGCAGGTTTAGCAGTTGACAAAGTTACGATGTGCTATATCTCCCATGCCCATTTGGACCGCATAGTAACTCTGACACATTGGGGGGTGTCACACTTTACAGTGTTGGTGTAAACACCCTCATGATGGTCCAATTTCAAGCCACCAATGTGCTATTGGCTGGCCCACAAGACTTTCAAAATCAATATGTGACTCTTGCAAGCTGAAAGCCATGACTATATATTACTGTCCAATAATAATGATAAGCACAGATTATACTTATCGAATAACTACTTTGTGCTAGACACAATGATGTAAGCCCTTTACATGTATTATCTTGTGGAATTTACCCAAGAAAGGCTTGCAATAAGCCCTAATAAGATTTCTACTTAACGGCTGGGCACAGTGGCTCATGTCTATAATCCTGGCTACTTGAGAGGCAGAAGCCCACAGGATTGAGACCAGCCTAGGCCAAAGGTTATCAAGACCCCATGTCCGTCCACAGTTGGATGTGGTGGCCCATGTCTGGCATCTCAGCAATTTAGGAAGCACAAATATAGCCGAATCAAGATTCAGCCCAGGCTGATAAATCTGAGGCTCCATCCAAAACCAATAACTAACGCAAAAAGGACTGGGGATGTGGCTCCAGTGGGAGAGCACCGATCTAGTAAGTACAAGGCCTCGGAGTTCAAACTCCAGTACCATCACACAGAGGCTGGGTCAAATAGTGAACATCTTTGCACCTCACTTCCCTCTTGGGAACCTGTGAGAACTCAAATTATAGATGGCCGAGTTCAGCATCAAGGGCAGAGCCTTGGCTAAGTGCCCAGGTTAAGAAGTAGAGTTCTCCGTGCTTCTGTGTAGCACTTCTGCAGTCCAGACCGGCGTGGGCAGTGCTGGTCCCCTCACCCTGGGTTATGAGGACCTGGGACCCCAGGGCCTCCCTGGGGGAGATTACATTTGCAAAGGCCGCTCCTGGGAGAGCAGGAAAACCAGTGCTGCTCCACCTGGTCCTGTGCATGGGTCTCCTGGGAGCTTTAAAATGAAACAGCTGCTGAGCCCCGTCCCAGGCCAATTAAACAGGACCCATGGGATGGAGCCCAGGCAAGGGAGCTTATTTAAGCTCCAGTGAGTCTGGCACGTCTTCCGGGCTAGCAACACATGCCTGGACCTGGCCCCCTGGGAAATGGACGAGGAAACTGAGTTGTGGGGCAGGGTGGGGGTGGGGGTTGCTCAAGGACTTTCCAAAGTCACATCATCAGGAAAAAGTAGGGAAAGATTCTGACCTGAGGTCACACCAGGAGACGACAGTAAGTACACCGCATGCCACCTGGACTCCAGAGCTCCTTCCGGCAGTCTCCTAGAGGAGATGTCCCTCCCACTTCCAAGACCCTAGTCCTAAAGCCAGCTGCAATCCCAGCTACGTAGGAGGCACAAATAGGAGGACTGTGATCTGAAGCCCAGTCTAGGCAAAAACTTGAGACTCTATCTAAAAATGACTGAAATAAAACGGCGGGGGGGGGAGGGATGGGTGAAATGGCAGAGCATCTGTCTAGCAAGCTTAGGACCCTCAGTTCCAACATCACTGACTGTACTACAAAAAGAAAAAAGAAAAGAAA